AAACAAAAAATGTATTTTTAAAAATAAAACCAAAAAGAGACTAGTAGCCAACAGAGAATAAATATGAAAACAATTCTTTTGAGAATTTAAATATAAGATACTATATTGCCTCCTAACTTATTAGATTCATGTCTTATTTATTATAAAGACTTTTTTGATTAAAGGCAACAACATGTCATTGTGAAAAGAGCATTTGACTAAGCATCAATACTTCTGGGTTTTAGTCCTGAATTTTCCATTAATTTTATTGTGTGACTTGTGCATGTCACTTAACCTCTCAGGGATCCCCAAGTGTCATTCAGGAAGATTGAACAAAATGATTTTAAATCATCTGTCTCAAAATTCTATGAATATAAGGATTTAAGTAATTAGAAGCTTGTAGTAACAGGACTAACACTGTCAATAAACTTTAGGACCTTTAAGTTTTAATGTGGGAAAATGTAAGAAATTAGAAGGAAATGGTGCTTTTAAGATCGTGCATTTTGACTTACTAGTTTTAATGCATAATAGGCTCTTGGGGTCATTGCTTCTTTTCTGTTATCAGGAACACAAGGGCAGCATACTCAATGTCAGTGATGTTAAGCATGAAACCAAATACATTAGCAGAAACACTGTCCCAGGCTATGAAATGCTTGAGTGTAGTAGTTGCCATTTGAATCATGTAACAGACATTTAGTGATCCCTGAAGGCATGAATGGCTTAGTGAAAGCTGGTGGTTTTTGTTGTGTTTTTCCTGCCTTGAGAGTTTAAAATGTAAAGGGATTGTAGGAGTTTTCCAGGCCTTATTGGGATGAAGCTCAAATGACCTTTATTTACTTGCAACTGTTTGCTTTCTGAAGCTATTTGAAAATCTTAATCTTTGCTGTATATAAATATAATTTTAATATTGGATTAAAATTGGAGTTTTATTCTATTATGTTAGTTTTTCAAGTTTACAAAGTTGTTTCTCCTTCTATTCTCTTTACTCGTATGAACAAGACATTCTTTCTGTTTTGGAGAATATGTATATAGAATAATAATTTTAAATACTAATTTAAATTCTGTTTCTGAATTTTACTCTTTCAAAGTTACCTATGATTGTTCAATACTTGTGCCTTGTTAGGGAACCCTCATAAGAGTGCAAAATTTCTAGCTCAACAGAGATCTGTTAAGTACTAAGATACTAAACATACTATATTTAGTGAGGCATATACTTAGAGTTCTCACAATTTAATATCAGAGTAAATGTATGATACTTTATTTAAAAAAAAAAAAGCTTCCCTTATTCCCCCAGTGCAATGCAAATGTCATCCTACATTGGCACAGAGTTGCAGAACTTATCATACTGAATTACACTAATATTCAAATAAAACAATAAAATAAAAACAGATTTTTTCTTTAGACATTTTAATTGAAATATTTATACCAATAAATATTTAAACCTGTACATACCATTTATCAAAATAAATTTTCATTACTATTTTCCATGCTATGCTATTGATAATAAACCTGAATTGTTTAAACTGTACTTAAATTGTAACTTTCACATCATTATTGCCATCTTAAAATGTATATCTATTTGTTGCTTCCTTAATTTATCTTGGTTTTATATTTTGTACCCCTTTTCCTTGTATATACGTATATACTCAAAAAGTATAAATTTCCTTTTGTAAAGCTTTGTGCTAACCATATCAGCCTCAAGTTCTTTGCTGCATCAAATGATTTTTTTGATATTTTAATTTGAAGATATTTTTATTCATTTGTTTCAGTATACTTGGAAGAATAATTGAACAGTACTCCACTTATTTAGAAAAGCAATAAAATACTTTAAGTAACTCAATAATACCTGAGTGTGCTTCCAGACTGACGTAAGACTTTTTTTCTGTTCCTTAGCTTTTTACCACTGTTTGCACTTAGAACACTTTCTGCATTTCTTTTTTAAAAAAACAATAGCTAACTTAATATATTTATCTTTAAAGTATCTGATAAATTCAGAGACAATGAAAGAAATCTATCCAGACATAATGAAAGAATGCTATCTTATTATTGGTTAATATATTAATGTGAGGTTATTGTTTTTGGAATCTCCACATTAACTAAAATGTTGCTTTTACAGCTATTTTGAAAGCATTATTTTTTTTATCCTAAATATGTTTTGCTCAGATCTTTTTTCATTTTAAAACTTCTATTTAGGTAAGCCAGTGTGTGTAAGTGTATATGTATATATGTGTGTGTGTGTGTATAGATAGATAGATAGTATAGAACAGAATACAAAAACTTACCATTTCAGCATGAGAATATGATGTATTAATTATATTAATTCACATTTGAAATTAATATAAACTACTTGAGAAAAAAAATCACACAATATCATAAAAGTCAGCATATGGCACTCGTTCATTTTAAAAGATTAAGTCATGGCTACCCTTGTCATCTTGGGTAGTTTATAACAGAATCCAGAGAGTCAGTTAAACATTTATTTCCACTTCATGTTCACTTTAGCTTTATTTAAGACATATCATTTACTAGTCTTTAATTGTAGGCACACATTTTTCTTCTATTTTTAGAAATAAAGATAAATTGAATTTGGGGGCCAGGTGTGGTGGCTCCAGCCTGCAATCCCAGCATTTTGGGAGGCCAAGGTGGGTGGATCACCTGAGGTCAGGAGTTAAAGCCCAGCCTGACCAATATGGTGAAACCCCGTCTCTACTAAAAATACAAAAATTAGCTGGGCATGGTAGCATGGGCCTGTAGTCCAGCTACTCAGGAGACTGAGACACGAGAATCCCTTGAACCTGGGAGACGGAGGTTGCACTGAGCCGAGATCTTACTACTGCACTCCAGTCTGGGCGACAGAGCGAGACTCCATCTCAACAACAAAATCCTTTGGTATAAATATTGCAAAAATAGCAAATAATCCCTTTTAAACAGTGGTTACTAGTCTTCTTCTAGCTAGTATAGAGTTGTTCTTTTGCTGGTAAAATCGCATTAGCTTTTCCCAGAGAGCCATGTCTTTCACAGTCTCAGTTCTTTTCCTTATCTAAACTACATTCCAAATTGCAAGAGCATTTGCAGGCCTGCCTTTATATTTTGTTATACAATGTAGTTTAAACATATTATATAAATCCATCTAATGCAGACATTGATTTTAAGCAATACAAAATGAAATTGATCAAAAAAAGAAGTCCAGAGCTAAGCATAGAAACAGAATTAGCACAATAATGATTAGGAATTCAGTTCCTTCTCCTATGATAATGATCTTGGCTATTTATTTAACCCCCTCTTTGCATCTGTTAAACAGGCTATAATAATACCTACTTTAGGAAGTTGTTATTAGGATAAATGAGATAATAAATATGAAGTATTTAGCATTGTGCCAGACACATGGTAGGTGATCTACAAATGATATCTAATAATAATGTTGAATTATAATAAAAATGTATTTTTCTTGCTATTTTATAATTTTCTTTTTCTAGAATATGCTTGGGTAGTAATAGATAATACTGTGTTTCAAATATAAATTGTAATAATATAATATCTCACATGATTTCACTTAATGAATAGCATTGACCAAATTCAGGTTTTATAAAAGTATGTTAAATAACTCCCTGGAATTTTCCTATAGTACTGCTAATGTGGTTTCCTGCAGTAACTTGATGTATGATACAGTAATGAGTATAGAATTAGCATGTAAAGCAAGGCCATTTTATACCCCTTCTAATTGGCTTATTTAGTTAAGTGCCAAATGCTGCAATATAAAGATTCTAGTATGTTATCCCTAAAACACAAAGCAAAGTTCTAATGGAGTTTCTTTTCTAATTCTATTTTTTAAGGTCTTTAATCTATTAAATCCTGATAGCTTTGCTGGTAAAGTCAGCGTGTTTACTCACGTTTTGTATTCTTCATTAACACTTAGCACTTATCAAGCATTTGCCAAACAAAATCACTCAAGAGGAATCTGAGGAAAAATTTTTGCAAATTAATATGATGAATCTAATTGGTATTTTATTTTCCCTAAAATGTCTACAGTCTGTTATTTCTGCCTTTCCTTTTTCCATCCCACTTCTATGAACTACCAGTGCCTGAATAGGAGAGCTACTATTGTTCATTACAAGAGTGTTGTATGAGGCCTTGAATGTTGTAAGAAATGTATATATATTGAGCCGTTTATATACATCCATTACTTTTCTATTTATATATTGGACTCTTTTGAAATATGCTTCAACTTGTAGAAACCACAAGGGTTCTTTTTAACATACTGACTTTATACCTTTCAGATTAGCATTCTATCCAAGTATCCTGTATAGAAATCTTTCAGCATTAACAATGTTATCTTCCCCACTTGAAATAAAAAGAAAATAAGAATGAAAATATAACCACATACGGAAGGAAAGGAATAGTTAAAAGATTTAATACTGTCATAGTATTTTTCTTCCTGTCAAACATACAGTTTGAACTGCAGCAATTTGAACTGCAGCCAGTTTTTATATGTTAAGTACTGCCATTCTGTCCTTTCTCCACGGCTGCCGATGAATATTTTTAAAACAAATTTTAAAAAATACAGAGAATGGGATTCCAGGATGGGCCACATAATTTGTGAGACCTAGTACAAAATGAAAACATTGAAACCTAAACATCAGAGAGAGTAAAGAGATGTGCCATCATGGCCATGCAGCTAGACTAACCAGTGTAATTACTGATCATTTTAAGATGCTCAGCAAGGTAATTAAATTAAGAATAATGAGATAATTCATACCATGAGTAGGATTTTAGCATTTTGGGGGTTGACAAAGCAACACAGGAGAAAAAAGCATTTATTGGGTGTCTTTTTTGGATAGGAGCCATATTGGACTCTTTTTAATGCATTATCATGTCTTAGCATGTCAGCCATATAAAGTAATCTTTATTACCTCATTTCATTTTCTATCTGAGGAAAGTAAATCTCAAGGATATAAAATAACTTGTTTATAGTCACACAGTAGTCATTGGCAATGTGGTGATTGCCCACATCTGTCTTCAGATGAAGCCTATGTTCTTTCCATGGGTATTGGTACCATGAGGCTGTCTGTCTATCTTTAGGAGCTGATAAACACGATAAAAGTACAGACTTGAGAAGCAGATGCAAAAAGCACTAGCACAAAGAGGGAAATTTAGCATGACAGTTTCTTTAGTGTAAGGAAGCTGAACCCAGCACAAAGTGCGGCCATGGACCAAGGACAGAACACAGTAAATAAAAAGAGAATTCTTATTATCTTGACCAGACAGGAGAAATTGTTGTGAAGGGAAAATAAGTCTCATGATCCCAAAATCACTAAGCCAAGGGAAAAGTCAGGCTGGGAACATTGTCAGGCAAACCTGTCTCCCATTTTATTTCTAAATAACATAGCTACAAAGATAAGAAGCTACACACCTCCCTCACAATTTGCCAACAAGGAAATACCTTGTAGACAAAGGACAGACAGAACTCAAAGTCATTCCTCTGAGGCTCATCTGAGACAAATGCATATCTGATTGCTTCCTCTGCCCTTTTTGCATCTGCTTCTCAAGTCTGTACTTTTATTGTGTTTATCAGCTCCTAAAGATAGACAGACAGCCTCATGGTACCAATACCCATGGAAAGAACATGGGCTTGATCTGAAGACAGATGTGGGCAAATTTATTTATTTATGTAAAAATGCAGATTCACTGAACCAGACTTAATTGTATATTCAGTGGAAGGCTGATCAAAGACTCAAAAGAATGCACCTTTTGTCTCTTATCTACTTCTAACCTGGAAGCCCCCACTTTGAGTTGTCCTGCCTTACATGACTGAAGCAATGTACATCTTACACATATTGATTGATGTCTCATGTCTCTCTAAAATGTGTAAAAGCAAGCTGTACTCCAACCACCATGAGAACATGTCATCAGGACCTACTGAGACCGCGTCACGGGCATGTCCTTACCTTAGCAAAATAAACTTCCTAAATTGACTGAGACTTGTCTCAGATATTTTGGATTAACACTGTCAACCTACCTCACAGTAGACTAATAACAGTGGCTACAGAACAAATGTAACATGTTGGAGATGGATAGAAGATAATACCTTGATTGCAAAATAATAGTTCCTCCTACAGTTAAAGCAAAAAGTAAGTTTCAAATGATGAAAACCAGACTTCAGTAATGAGAGTGTGTGAGGCATCTGAGGACCAGTATATTTTAGGGAGGTATATTTCAAGCTTTATCACTTATATTCCACTTCTTTTTTTTGTTTGTTTCTTTTTTTAAAAAATTTATTTTATTGCATTTTAGGTTTTGAGGTACATGTGAAGAACATGCAAGATTGTTGCATAGGTACACACGTGGCTGTGTGATTTGCTGCCTTCCTCCCCATCACCTATATCTGGCATTTCTCCCCATGCTATCTCTCCCCAACTCCCCACCCCCCAACTGTCCCTCCCTTATTTCCCCCCAACAGACCCAAGTGTGTAGTGCTCTCCTCCCTGTGTCCATGTGTTCTCATTGTTCAACACCCGCCTGTGAGTGAGAACATGTGGTATTTGATCTTCTGCTCTTGTGTCAGTTTGCTGAGAATGATGGTTTCCAGGTTCATCCTTTGTAGGGACATGGATGAACC